TTTTTGCTTTTGAGAGGCGCGGTGGCAGCAAATGCTTGCCTCCCGCGGAAGGGAAAGAAACCGAAAACACATTTTTTCCTGCCAAAAGATAGATCTTTTGTCGAAAAGCTAAGAAAGACAGGTGGAATACCGAAAAGCCGGAAAAAAACATCTAAAAAGCCAAAAATCGTATGAGAAAAACAACATCCAGAGGATGCGTCCTGAGCATGACATGTGGCGGCTAGCGCGCTCCGTGAAGGTTTCGAACCTGTGACCTCCTCGTTGAAGGTTGGCTGGTGTAATCACCCCACCAACCTGCTAACATTTTAACCTATTTGTCTTTTATTCGTTCTTTTTTCCATTTTCCTTTTTCGTTTCTATTTTTTTCTTCTTTTTGTGGTCAGATGAATTGTTTTGCAAATACGTATTTTTTTCAAATCAATGATCTTTTGTCTAATTTCATGAATTTTGTTTCAAATTGATTAACCTTTTTTTTTTTCCAAAAATGCATGTTCGTTTTAGAATAAATGAACTATTTTTTCTATTTTCATGTTTTTTTTTCAAAATTGATGTACTATTTTTTCAAAAGCGTTGGTTTCTTTTAAATTCGATGAACTTTTTCATAATTGTTGAACCTTTTTTCAAATTCCTGATTTTTTAAGAATTATTGAACCTTTTTTTAAAACGTTTGTGAAGGTTTTTCCAAAATCCATGATCTTTTTTCATTTTTTTTCCTTTTTCTAGTTTTTTGTATTATTATTTAATGGTCAACCGCACTCTGCATGGGCCAACCCACAGGGAGGGGCGCTTTAGGCGCCAGTTCCCCAAGTGGCGCGGAAGGCGCCACATAGGACTCCCCAGGAAGTGATCCACACACTATTGGGAAGATCCTATTTTTGTGAGATGAAAAGTTAAGAGTTGCCTCTTAAGGTTACTCTCACTTTCTCGTGCGTTGACAACTGAAGCACTGTATATGCGTCACTTGTCACAGCCAGAAAGTTTTTTTAGATTTGTTTATTCAAAATGTTCTACCTCTTGAACCATGCGTCCAAATCTCGATAAGTTACACCACTCGATTTCTTGTATCGATATCTTCAAAACTAGTCACATGTCAATAGGTTTC